CTAGGCTTACTGGTGCTCACTTTTTCGTGGCATATACAAATACACATACGAAAAAGTGCAATATTATGTAACAAGAAAGCCATGAACTCCTTATGTTTAATACAGATATTATTTTATATGAAAAAGAAATAATTGCTGCTTAGTTTGACATGTGTAATGTAAAGAAGTCAGTGTAGTGCATTGCCACTGTAAGTGGTGGTAACTGCCGTTCTGTATCCCAGTACAGAAGGGAAATTATGTTCATTATGTATTTGAGGTATGCAACTCGGTAGTTTCGGTATGTTATCAGGTTTCATCTGCTGTAGCTAAGATTGGTCTGTGCTGTGCTAGTTATTGTGCTATTATGACCAGATGCATTTATTAGGTGATACATCTAGTGAAATGCATGGCCTGAGAAAGAACAACAACAGGCTGCTACACTTCAGATATGTAATGGTGGTTATCCGGTGCAGTGAGAATTGGAAACCAGTGGCATCTTATACCATAATGCTAGATGATACCATAATGCTAGATGATGGATTGGTACTCTGATATGTAATGTGGGACTTACTCTGTCTGTCCCTGTTCTACCGTTGGATGGCATCATGGTGCTACAGAGGGGATTCATATGAAAATTTTATATGTCATTGATCCCATCATATGCAATAGTCTAGGGTCTCATAGCAGTCTCAGAGACCTATGATATGCATTCTGAAGTAATGGGTACTGCAAAATTCCGTGGTATCGTTTTTGCCATAACGAAATTTATAGGGTCTGCTGAATATTTGAGTATGCTGGGGGAAAACGATCCAAAGAAATGACATATGAGTAGCTTTTTCTGATTGAGTCTTTCATGACCTTCAAGGACATTCCATGCTCATCGACCTTGCCATCTGTTCACCATCTCTGTTGCCATTTTGCACTTTTAAAGGGGGGAAATGATCTTTACAACAGCGATCACTATCCTATTTTAGTATCTCTTGCACAAGAGAAAGCAAACCACATGTCGAGATCTTCCTCAGGTTCATATTCGATAGGGCAGACTGGGAACTCCTCTTCTGTGCAGAGGTTACAGAGAAATGGTAGATGTGCATATCGATGATGGTGAAGCTGTTTAATACTATTATCAGGCAGCTATGCTTTCCATTCCTAGAACATCAGAAATACAAAATATTGAAACCATCGGACTGTCGAAACTGTACAGAAATGGGATTTCGTAGATATCCTACTCTGCGAAACCTCATAGCATTTAAAAGAGCCAAAGCAAATGCATGAAAAGTAAGAAGGCAGAGCCAAAGGAAATCTTGGATTTCGTATGTGTCATCAATAACATCCTCTATGCCTAGTAAGCGGGTTTGGGAAAAAGTTCAAAAACCATGCAGAATATATAAGACCACTCACTTTCCTTTTTGGGAAAAGATGGCCGAGTGATCAGCTACATAGAAGAAATTGTGAATACTATTGGTGAGACATTTGCTGCCATTTCTTCCTAGAGAAACTATTCACCTGCATTTCTCTCTATCCAGCGCTCTGAAAGAAATTCCATCGCATTCAACTCTTTCAAATCTGAGTCTTAGAGACTTTACTTTGCTTGAATTAAGGAGAGCTTTGTTGCAGACACATAGGTCTTCTCCGTGTCTTGATGGCGTGAATTATGAAATGCTAAAGCATCTGTGCTATAACTCACTGATTGCCCTTCTCATTCTTTACAATAAAGTGTGGAAGGAGCATACTTTTCCCAGTGCATGGAGGAGAGCTGTTGTAATTCCTATTGCTAAGCCAGGGAAAGATCCAATTCCTATTGCTAAGCCAGGGAAAGATCCAAGAAATCCCTCCAGCTAATCGGCCAATTAACCCTTACGAGTTGCATATGTAAGCTGTTTGAAAACATGGTAAACAGCCGCCTAGTCTACTTCTTGGAAAAGAATAATATTATATCGCCTTATCAAAGCGGTTTCCGAAAGAGGAGAACATGTAGATAACATGCTTCTCTAGACATATTCGAAAAAAGCTTTTGTAAGAAGAAGTCACCTAGTTTCGGTATTCTTCGACATTGAAAAAGCTTATGGTAAGACATGGAGATACAGTATACTTCGGGATCTTCACGAGAGTGGCTTGCGCAGCGACCTATCAATTTTCTTGAACATTAGAACTTTTCCAGTAAGGATTGGCTGTGTTTTGTCAGATGTTTTTGAACAGGAAGAGGGTGTGCCTCAAGGCTGTGTGCTTAGTGTAACCCTGTTCATTTTAAAAATAAACTGTGTATTAAAAGAACTTCCTTCCACCATCTTGGGATCTCTATATGTTGATGATTTACAGATTAGCTGTTGAGGGGCAAACATGAAATACGTAGAGAGGCAATTACAAATGGCTCTAAATAAGATCCAAGAATGGTCAGACAAACAGGGATTTACATTTTCGAAACAGAAAACTTTGTGCGTGCACTTTTGTAGGAAGTGAGGTCTCCATCCTGTGCCTTAGTTATATCTGAACGATACGATTATTCCAGTTGTGCCTGAAGTAAAATTTTTAGGAGTGACGTTCGACCAAAAATTGACTTTCCTTTCTCATGTTTTAAATTTGAGAAAGAAGTGTTTGAAAACACTAAATATTTTGAAAGTGTTGGCGAACTCCTGGGGTGCAGAGCGTTGCTGTATGCTTCGCCTTTACAGAGCACTTGTCTGCTCTAGACTGGACTATGGCTCAGTTGTTTACGGATCCGCTCTGTCATCAGTATTGTTAAAACTAGATTCTGTTCACCATCAAGCTCTGCGGATATTTGTTCAGGAGCTCTCAGGACTTCTCCTGTCCAGAGTCTGTATGTTGACTGTAACAAACCATCACTTTATCTGAGGCATGAGCAATTATCCCTTTTGCAGTATTTTAATATTTTATCGCAACCTGAACAACCTAACAAGTTGTGCTTCCTTGATAATGTGTGTAGCACTTTATTTGAAACACGTCCATCATGTCCATCATACCTTTCCTTTAACAGCACACCCTATCATTGAGGAACTCTCCCTGTCTGATATGTGTCCCCAAGCAGTGCAGAATTTAGAAATCCCACCTTTGGAAAATGCACAGATCCAGCTTCTTAATTTTTTTCAATCATCACGTGAAGGCAAGTGCTAACGACATCGTTTACACACAACTTTTTGCTGACCACAGGCATAAATATAGCAGTTTTCTTCCACTATATACAGATGGATCCAAGTCAAAAGATCATGTCGGGATGGCATTTGTAATTGAAGATCATATTGAGGGCAGACGCTTGCACCATGCTTTTTCTGTCTTAACATCTGAACTAACTGCAATATATTATGGTCTTTTGTATTCAAATCATAAACGAATTCGAAGGATATGAAATCCTGTACTGCTGGGTTCCCGGGAATAAAGGGAAATGAGCTTGCAGATATTGTAGCAACATCTGCTGTTGAACTGTCCAGTCACCTTATCCCTTTTAGAGACATCTGCTGTGTCATCAAGGGGAAGATCTGAAAAAAAAAATGGCAGCAAATTTGGGATGTTCAGCTTCGTAACAAGTTAAAAAATGTAAAGCCTAGAATTGAGCATTGGTATTTTGCTGGAAATCGTAAGGAGAAAGTTCTTTTGACTCACCTCAGAATTGGTCACACTAGAGTGACCCATAACTATCTTCTGAAAGCTGAAAATGAGCCTATTTGTTTAAATTGTAATGTTTGTGTATCTGTCCGTCATATTTTAATCGAGTGTCTATGTTTTAATAGTCTTCGTCAGAAATATTTTAATAGCTGTGACTGTTTAATCGGAAGAGAGGTTCAATTGTAATTAATTTTATTATTTAGAAGAGACTGGCTTTTATTACCTAATGTAATTTGTTGTGAACATTGTGTCTTGGATTTTATTGTGTGCTTTTACCTTGTTTTTATATGATTTCATCCTCTGGATTTTGTACATTTGTTCACCTGTTTTTATTTATTGTATTTTAATCTCATCAGTTTCGATCATCCCACCTTGTGTTTGGCGCGTTATAATCATCTTTGGTTTTGCGCCAAAAACCTCACTCACTTAATTTTGCCCGTACTTCTAATCATGTTCAATTTGGTAATTGGTACTATTTTATAATTTCAGCCACTATAAACTTAATAAATCTTTTTGTGGATTTTTTTTCTTATTTGTCAAAAACTTCACGAGGTTTTAAGAAAACAGAAGAACTTTTTAATGGATTGGAATTACTTTAATTATATTGTAAGAGATTATCATTGTGATTAAAATAATTTAATAATCATTCTTTGCACTCTGTAATGCACTTTTTACTTGCTTGTCTTGTAGTGTGATAAAATAAGTCCACTGTTTGATAATATTTCTTATTGATAAATATATGTTTCAATATATATGTGTAATTATTTACTTCGCTAATTTTTGCAATAAATTAATGTCTTTAATGTACATTCATTTCATTGTGCTACAGTTCATTTTGCAAAATTTTGTTCCACCTTTTTTTTTTGCTTCAAAGAAATTCTTTAAAACTATATCTGTGCATAATTATTTATGTATTATGTTTTGGCAGTTTACTTTTGGTTTGTGGTTTATGATTTTTTGGGGGTGCTATGTTTTGTGTACCTAAAATCATGGATGCTAAATCATCCATGTTCCATGGTTGATCAGCCAACCATCTGTTGGAACATGAATTTTATTTTTAGTAATACAGAGCTAGTTTCAGCTTGTATTGTTTAATTTTTTTCTGTATTGTATTTCATTTATTTTATTTTAAATATTCTTTATTATATCGGTAATAACATCCATGTCAGCTTAGTGTGTTAAAAATTAAAAGAAGAAGGCAATTTTACAGAGGGCTTATGATAAGCTAAACTGTTAAAAGATTAATAGTTTATATCTTTTTTTTTTTTTTTTTTTTTTTTTTTTAGCTTTTGTTCTTTTTGACTATTTTAGAAACTTTAGAGATTATAATTATTTATGAATTTCTTAATGTATCAAGTAAAAAAGAAAAGGATTTTGTAATATGTTTATATTTTTTACAGCCACAAGAACTGTTGAAAATTTGGCTCAGGGTGCTTTTACTGGTAAGGGCTATAAATTTTTTTATCTTCTTTCTGAAGCTTTAGAATTTCATTATTTCAGTCAGAAAATTGTATAATAATATCGATTTCTTGATTTGGAAACATTAGTCAGGCCTTCCCTATTGAATGGTCCAAGTCCAAAATATACATTATTTGACCATATTTTTTTCTGCTAAAATATGCTAATGCATAAATTTTTCCTGATTAAGGTTTCTGTACTGCAGCATGTTTTGTGAAACTTTCATAAGTACTTTCTGATTATCTGCACCTTCTACCAAAAATCCACTAAAGAGAATTAATGAGAATTAATGAGAGATTAAAGAGAATTAATGAGGCAATATGCATACTATAAAAAAGTATTTATAGCATCTGACGATGTTGTCTGAAAATATTTATGTATTTATATGGCAACTCGGGTATGTGAGTAGCACATGTGTGTTTGAATACACAAGGATTTGTAGTTTTGTCAGTGTTTACTTTTCTGATTAGTATAGTTTCCATTGAGTACATTTGTTTTTATTGTGATGATTCATAATGAAACTGTGGATTTTTATTACATTGGTGTATTTCTTTGGAGTGTACGTTGAAGTTGCAACAGTTCTTAGGCAGCTGTGATCAGGGTTGATACACAAGTGCTGAAGTTATGTGCAATGCCGAGTTTGTGTTTAATCTCTGTTTAAGGGGAAAACAGATCACTGTGTACATGAGGAGAGCATTCTTCTGTGGGAAAAAAAGAATGTAAAATAATAAGCAAACTGGACATCATTGGAATAAATGTTAAAATGCACAAATACTTCTGCTGTAAGTGGGCAATGAATTCACAAATGCTCTTCAAAGTCTATAGCAAATTTGCGATTTCAGTGTGGGTGTGTATTATCATAAAGTATCTTTTCATATAATGCAGCAAGACTGTATTAATT